TGTATATTATTGTCTGGTTCTATAGTAGATATTTTCAACACCAGGGAGGGTGGGTTGTATATTATTGTCTGGTTCTATAGTAGATATTTTCAATACCAGGGAGGGTGGGTTGAAAAGGCGATACTGTCAACACCAGGGAGGGTGAGTTGTATATTATTGTCTGGTTCTATAGTAGATATTTTCAACACCAGGGAGGTGGGTTGTATATTATTGTCTGGTTCTATAGTAGATATTTTCAATACCAGGGAGGGTGGGTTGAAAAGGCGATACTGTCAACACCAGGGAGGGTGAGTTGTATCTTATTGTCTGGTTCTATAGTAGATATTTTCAACACCAGGGAGGGTGGGTTGAAAAGGTGATACTGTTGTCTGGTCCTATAGTAGATACTGTCAACACCAGGGAGGGTGGGTTGTATCTTATTGTCTGGTTCTATAGTAGATATTTTCAACACCAGGGAGGGTGAGTTGTATCTTATTGTCTGGTTCTTAGTAGATAATTGTCTGGTTCTATAGTAGATATTTTCAACACCAGGGAGGGTGGGTTGTATATTATTGTCTGGTTCTATAGTAGATATTTTCAACACCAGGGAGGGTGGGTTGTATATTATTGTCTGGTTCTATAGTAGATATTTTCAACACCAGGGAGGGTGGGTTGTATATTATTGTCTGGTTCTATAGTAGATATTTTCAACACCAGGAGGGTGGGTTGTATATTATTGTCTGGTTCTATAGTAGATATTTTTCAACACCAGGATTGTCTGGTTGGGTTTCAACACCAGGGAGGGTGAGTTGTATATTATTGTCTGGTTCTATAGTAGATATTTTCAATTTTCAACATGTCAACACCAGGGAGGGTGGGTTGTATCTTATTGTCTGGTTCTATAGTAGATATTTTCAACATCAGGGAGGGTGAATTGTATATTATTGTCTGGTTCTACAGGTGATACTGTCAACACCAGGGAGGGTGGGTTGTATCTTATTGTCTGGTTCTATAGTAGATATTTTCAACACCAGGGAGGGTGAATTGTATATTATTGTCTGGTTCTACATGACATACTGTCAACACCAGGGAGGGTGGGTTGTATCTTATTGTCTGGTTCTATAGTAGATATTTTCAACACCAGGGAGGGTGGGTTGTATATTATTGTCTGGTTCTATAGTAGATATTTTCAACACCAGGATTTGTCAACACCAGGGAGGGTGAGTTGTATATTATTGTCTGGTTCTATAGTAGATATTTTCAACACACCAGGGAGGGTGGGTTGTATATTATTGTCTGGTTCTATAGTAGATATTTTCAACACCAGGGAGGGTGGGTTGTATATTATTGTCTGGTTCTATAGTAGATATTTTTCAACACCATTGTCTGGTTCTATAGAGGGAGGTTGATACTGTCAACACCAGGGAGGGTGAGTTGTATCTTATTGTCTGGTTCTATAGTAGATACTTTCAACACCAGTGAGGGTGAGTTGTATCTTATTGTCTGGTTCTATAGTAGATATTTTCAACACCAGGGAGGGTGGGTTGTATATTATTGTCTGGTTCTATAGTAGATATTTTCAACACCAGGGAGGGTGAGTTGGTGGGTTGATATCAACACCAGGGAGGGTGGGTTGTATATTATTGTCTGGTTCTATAGTAGATATTTTCAACACCAGGGAGGGTGGGTTGAAAAGGCGATATTTTCAACACCAGGGAGGGTGGGTTGTATATTATTGTCTGGTTCTATAGTAGATATTTTCAACACCAGGGAGGGTGGGTTGTATATTATTGTCTGGTTCTATAGTAGATATTTTCAACACCAGGGAGGGTGGGTTGTATATTATTGTCTGGTTCTATAGTAGATACTGTCAACACCAGGGAGGGTGAGTTGTATCTTATTGTCTGGTTCTATAGTAGATATTTTCAACACCAGGGAGGGTGGGTTGAAAAGGTGATACTGTCAAAACCAGGGAGGGTGAGTTGTATCTTATTGTCTGGTTCTATAGTAGATACTTTCAACACCAGGGAGGGTGGGTTGTATATTATTGTCTGGTTCTATAGTAGATATTTTCAACACCAGGAGGGTGGGTTGTATATTATTGTCTGGTTCTATAGTAGATATTTTAGATATTTTCAGGTGGGTTGTATAGATTGTCTGGTTCTATAGTAGATATTTTCAATACCTGGTTCTATAGTAGATATTTTCAACACCAGGGAGGGTGGGTTGTATATTATTGTCTGGTTCTATAGTAGATATTTTCAACACCAGGGAGGGTGGGTTGTATCTTATTGTCTGGTTCTATAGTAGATATTTTCAACACCAGGGAGGGTGGGTTGTATATTATTGTCTGGTTCTATAGTAGATATTTTCAACACCAGGGAGGGTGGGTTGTATATTTTATTGTCTGGTTCTATAGTAGATATTTTCAACACCAGGGAGGGTGGGTTGTATATTATTGTCTGGTTCTATAGTAGATATTTTCAACACCAGGGAGGGTGGGTTGTATATTATTGTCTGGTTCTATAGTAGATATTTTCAATACCAGGGAGGGTGGGTTGAAAAGGTGATACTGTCAACACCAGGGAGGGTGAGTTGTATCTTATTGTCTGGTTCTATAGTAGATATTTTCAACACCAGGGAGGGTGGGTTGTATATTCTTGTCTGCTTCTATAGTAGATATTTTCAACACCAGGGAGGGTGAGTTGTATATTATTGTCTGGTTCTATAGTAGATATTTTCAACACCAGGGAGGGTGGGTTGTATATTATTGTCTGGTTCTATAGTAGATATTTTCAACACCAGGGAGGGTGGGTTGTATCTTATTGTCTGGTTCTATAGTAGATACTTTCAACACCAGGAGAGGGTTGTATATTATTGTCTGGTTCTATAGTAGATATTTTCAACACCAGGGAGGGTGAGTTGTATCTTATTGTCTGGTTCTATAGTAGATATTTTCAACACCAGGGAGGGTGGGTTGTATATTCTTGTCTGCTTCTATAGTAGATATTTTCAACACCAGGGAGGGTGAGTTGTATCTTATTGTCTGGTTCTATAGTAGATATTTTCAACACCAGGGAGGGTGGGTTGTATATTATTGTCTGGTTCTATAGTAGATATTTTCAACACCAGAGAGGGTGGGTTGTATATTATTGTCTGGTTCTATAGTAGATATTTTCAACACCAGGGAGGGTGGGTTGTATATTATTGTCTGGTTCTATAGTAGATATTTTCAACACCAGGGAGGGTGGGTTGTATATTATTATTGTCTGGTTCTATAGTAGATATTTTCAACACCAGGGAGGGTGGGTTGTATCTTATTGTCTGGTTCTATAGTAGATATTTTCAACACCAGGGAGGGTGGGTTGTATATTATTGTCTGGTTCTATAGTAGATATTTTCAACACCAGGGAGGGTGGGTTGTATATTATTGTCTGGTTCTATAGTAGATATTTTCAACACCAGGGAGGGTGGGTTGTATATTATTGTCTGGTTCTATAGTAGATATTTTCAACACCAGGGAGGGTGGGTTGAAGAGGCGATACTGTCAACACCAGGGAGGGTGAGTTGTATATTATTGTCTGGTTCTATAGTAGATATTTTCAATACCAGGGAGGGTGGGTTGAAAAGGCGATACTGTCAACACCAGGGAGGGTGAGTTGTATATTATTGTCTGGTTCTATAGTAGATATTTTCAACACCAGGGAGGGTGGGTTGTATATTATTGTCTGGTTCTATAGTAGATATTTTCAACACCAAGGAGGGTGAGTTGTATCTTATTGTCTGGTTCTATAGTAGATATTTTCAACACCAGGGAGGGTGGGTTGTATATTATTGTCTGGTTCTATAGTAGATATTTTCAACACCAGGGAGGGTGAGTTGTATATTATTGTCTGGTTCTATAGTAGATATTTTCAACACCAGGGAGGGTGGGTTGTATATTATTGTCTGGTTCTATAGTAGATATTTTCAACACCAGGGAGGGTGGGTTGTATATTATTGTCTGGTTCTATAGTAGATATTTTTGGGTCAACACCAGGAGGGTGAGTTGTATCTTATTGTCTGGTTCTATAGTAGATATTGTCAACACCAGGGAGGGTGGGTTGTATCTTATTGTCTGGTTCTATAGTAGATATTTTCAACACCAGGGAGGGTGGGTTGTATATTATTGTCTGGTTCTATAGTAGATATTTTCAACACCAGGGAGGGTGGGTTGTATCTTATTGTCTGGTTCTATAGTAGATATTTTCAACACCAGGGAGGGTGGGTTGTATATTATTGTCTGGTTCTATAGTAGATATTTTCAACACCAGGGAGGGTGGGTTGTATATTATTGTCTGGTTCTATAGTAGATATTTTCAACACCAGGGAGGGTGGGTTGTATATTATTGTCTGGTTCTATAGTAGATATTTTCAACACCAGGGAGGGTGGGTTGTATATTATTGTCTGGTTCTATAGTAGATATTTTCAACACCAGGGAGGGTGAGTTGTATCTTATTGTCTGGTTCTATAGTAGATATTTTCAACACCAGGGAGGGTGGGTTGTATATTATTGTCTGGTTCTATAGTAGATAGCTTCAACACCAACACCAGGAGGGAGGGTGAATTGTATCTTATTATTGTCTGGTTCTATAGTAGATATTTTCAACACCAGGGAGGGTGAGTTGTATCTTATTGTCTGGTTCTATAGTAGATATTTTCAACACCAGGGAGGGTGGGTTGTATATTATTGTCTGGTTCTATAGTAGATATTTTCAACACCAGGGAGGGTGGGTTGTATATTATTGTCTGGTTCTATAGTAGATATTTTCAACACCAGGGAGGGTGAGTTGTATCTTATTGTCTGGTTCTATAGTAGATATTTTCAACACCAGGGAGGGTGGGTTGTATATTATTGTCTGGTTCTATAGTAGATATTTTCAACACCAGGGAGGGTGGGTTGTATCTTATTGTCTGGTTCTATAGTAGATATTTTCAACACCAGGGAGGGTGAATTGTATATTATTGTCTGGTTCTACAGGTGATGCTGTCAACACCAGGGAGGGTGAGTTGTATCTTATTGTCTGGTTCTATAGTAGATATTTTCAACACCAGGGAGGGTGGGTTGTATATTATTGTCTGGTTCTATAGTAGATATTTTCAACACCAGGGAGGGTGGGTTGTATATTATTGTCTGGTTCTATAGTAGATATTTTCAACACCAGGGAGGGTGGGTTGTATATTATTGTCTGGTTCTATAGTAGATATTTTCAACACCAGGAGGGTGGGTTGTATATTATTGTCTGGTTCTATAGTAGATATTTTCAACACCAGGGAGGGTGGGTTGTATATTATTGTCTGGTTCTATAGTAGATATTTTCAACACCAGGAGGGAGGGTGGGTTGTATATTATTGTCTGGTTCTATAGTAGATATTTTCAACACCATGGAGGGTGGTTGTATGTTATTGTCTGGTCACTGATAGTAAGATAAGGCGAACGCGTAACAATGAACACCACAAGAGGACGAACAGTGCACAAGAGGACGAACAGTGCACAGTAGGGCGAACAGTGCACAGGTAGGCGAACAGTGCACAGTAGGGCCAAGAGGGCACAAGAGGACGAACAATGCACAGGAGGGCGAACACTGCACAAGAGGACGAACAATGTACAAGAGGGCTTACACGAACAGTTGACAGGAGGGCGAAGAGGGCACAAGAGGACGAACAATGCACGAACAACATGCACAAGAGGACAAACAATGCAACAAGATGGCTAACAGTTGACAGGAGTTCAGAAGAGGACGAACAGTGCACAAGAGGGCGAACAGATGCAGTTCACAAGAGGGCGAAGAGGGCACAAGAGGGACGAACAGTGCACAGGAGGGCGAACAATGCACAAGAGGGCGAACAATGCACAAGAGGGCGAACAACGCACAAGAGGGCGAACAGTTGACAGGAGGGCGAAGAGGGCACAAGAGGGCGAACAATGCACAAGAGGGCGAACAATGCACAAGAGGGCGAACAATGCACAAGAGGGCGAACAACGCACAAGAGGGCGAACAACGCACAAGAGGGCGAACAATGCACAAGAGGGCGAACAGTTGACAGGAGGGCGAAGAGGGCACAAGAGGACGAACAATGCACAAGAGGGCGAACAGTTCACAAGAGGACGAACAATGCACAGGAGGACGAACAGTGCACAAGAGGGCAAACAGTGCACAAGAGGGCAAACTGTGCACAAGAGGACGAACACTGCAGAAGAGGGCGAACAGTGCACAAGAGGGCGAACAGTTCACAAGAGGACGGACAGTGCACAATAGTGGGAACAGTGCACAATAGTGGGAACAGTGCACAAGAGGGCGAAGAGGGCACAAGAGGGCGAACAGTGCACAGGAGGGCGAACAGTTCACAAAAGGACGAACAGTGCACAAGAGGGCGAACAATGCACAAGAGGGCGAACAATGCACAAGAGGGCGAACAACGCACAAGAGGGCGAACAATGCACAAGAGGGCGAACAATGCACAAGAGGGCGAACAATGCACAAGAGGACGAACAACGCACAAGAGGGTGAACAATGCACAAGAAGGCGAATGGGTTATACATGTGGGCGAGTAATGCTCTGGTGGACAGTTATGCTATTGGACGAGTAACGCTCTATGTGGCAGGTTGTGCTCTGATGGGCAAGTAATGCACAGAAAACTACGTATAGGGATTCACAAAAGGTGTTAAATGTCCAAGACGGAATCAATAACACACTTTAGACAAAGCTAATGCTGTTTGCACCATTCATCTGATTCAACACTGTAGTAGCGCACCTGCATCCAGTGTACATACTGTTAAGTGTCACCCATTCGTTCAGACAAATGTAAGGATACGGATAATCGTACAGTCTGGACAATGTAGCAGGGAAGAAGGTAATGTACCCGGTGCCCGTAACACGTGAGTGTAACAAAAGTTACATCTTCATGGAAGAGTTACTATAGTAGTTGCACATGATGTAATGTATTCACGGAAGAGTTACTGCATTAGTTGTATATGGTGTAATGTATTCACGGAAGAGTTACTGCATTAGTTGTATATGGTGTAATGTATTCACGGAGGAGTTACTGCATTAGTTGTATATGGTGTAATGTATTCACGGAGGAGTTACTGCATTAGTTGTATATGGTGTAATGTATTCACGGAGGAGTTACTGCATTAGTTGTATATGGTGTAATGTATTCACGGAGGAGTTACTGCATTAGTTGTATATGGTGTAATGTATTCACGGAGGAGTTACTGCATTAGTTGTATATGGTGTAATGTATTCACGGAGGAGTTACTGCATTAGTTGTATATGGTGTAATGTATTCACGGAGGAGTTACTGCATTAGTTGTATATGGTGTAATGTATTCACGGAGGAGTTACTGCATTAGTTGTATATGGTGTAATGTATTCACGGAGGAGTTACTGCATTAGTTGTATATGGTGTAATGTATTCACGGAGGAGTTACTGCATTAGTTGTATATGGTGTAATGTATTCACGGAAGAGTTACTGCATTAGTTGTATATGGTGTAATGTATTCACGGAAGAGTTACTGCATTAGTTGTTGTATGGTGTAATGTATTCACGGAAGAGTTACTGCATTAGTTGTATATGGTGTAATGTATTCACGGAAGAGTTACTGCATTAGTTGTATATGGTGTAATGTATTCACGGAGGAGTTACTGCATTAGTTGTATATGGTGTAATGTATTCACGGAAGAGTTACTGCATTAGTTGTATATGGTGTAATGTATTCACGGAAGAGTTACTGCATTAGTTGTATATGGTGTAATGTATTCACGGAGGAGTTACTGCATTAGTTGTATATGGTGTAATGTATTCACGGAGGAGTTACTGCATTAGTTGTATATGGTGTAATGTATTCACGGAGGAGTTACTGCATTAGTTGTATATGGTGTAATGTATTCACGGAGGAGTTACTGCATTAGTTGTATATGGTGTAATGTATTCACGGAGAGTTACTACAGTAGTTGTATATGGTGTAATGTATTCACGGAGGAGTTACTGCATTAGTTGTATATGGTGTAATGTATTCACGGAGGAGTTACTACAGTAGTTGTATATGGTGTAATGTATTCACGGAAGAGTTACTACAGTACTTGCACATGGTGTAGATGTATTCACGGAAGAGTTACGACAGTACTTGCACATGGTGTAGATGTATTCACGGAAGAGTATTCACGGATTTGAGTTACTACGGAAGAGTTACTACAGTAGTTGCACATGGTGTAATGTATTCACGGAAGAGTTACTACAGTACTTGCACATGGTGTAGATGTATTCACGGAAGAGTTACTACAGTAGTTGCACATGGTGTAGATGTATTCACGGAAGGGTTACTACTTTACTTGCATATGGTGTACTTGCACGGATGGTGTAGATGTATTCACGGAAGAGTTACTATAGTAGTTTCATGGTTGTATATGATGTAATGTATTCACGGAAGAGTTGCTATGGTAGTTGCACATGATGTAATGTATTCACGGAAGAGTAACTATAGCAGTTGCTCACGGTAGTGAAATACTGTGTAAACGTTATTATAGTAGTTTTTCGTGATGAAATGCACAAGTGTATCAATTCATAGTGAGAAAGGTCAAATGAACTGAATGTGGGTAGGAGTATCATTTGGAGGGTGCTTTTATAAAACACTTTCCGCGTCTCTGTGTGGTAGTGTGCCCCTGTGAGTAAGGATATATTGTTTCATGCTTTCAGAAATCACACGTCTACAACATGCTGTCGAGAAGGGACCGCGGCGTCATTGCCAGCACCTGTGCAATCGTGATGGTGACACTGTTCCTGTTTCATTCCCCTCTGGTAAGTGACAGTATCGTGGAGAAGGATATTTGTAACAAACGCATCAATAAACATGTACTAATAGAGTTCAGCATTTTGGAGAAGGTGGATGGGGATTTGATTTGAGGGCGGAGAGAGGGCGAAGGTTGGAAGAGAGTATAAGCACATCTGTGAGTACAATTATATCGAGTAAAACATGTTCAGCACGTCTGTCAAAACTTGGTCGAGTTTGCTTTTTACATATTGACGTCACACATGTAGATGAGCAGGTAGGTGTCACACATGTAGATGAGCAGGTAGGTGTCACACATGTAAATGGACAGGTAGGTGTCACACATGTAGATGAGCAGGTAGGTGTCACACATGTAGATGAGCAGGTAGGTGTCACACATGTAGATGAGCAGGTAGGTGTCAGATATGTAGATGAGCAGGTAAGTGTCACACATGTAGATGAGCAGGTAGGTGTCACACATGTAGATAGACAGGTAGGTGTCACACATGTAGATGAGAAGGTAGGTGTCACACATGTAAATTGACAGGTAGGTGTCACACATGTAGATAGACAGGTAGGTGTCACACATGTAGATGAGAAGGTAGGTGTCACACATGTAAATTGACAGGTAGGTGTCACACATGTAGATAGACAGGTAGGTGTCACACATGTAGATAAACAGGTAGGTGTCACACGTGTAAATAGACAGGTAGGTGTCACATGTAAATAGACAGATAGGTGTCACACATGAAGATGAGCAGGTAGGTGTCACTCAAGTAGATGAGCAGGTAGGTGTCACACATGTAGATGAGCAGGTAGGTGTCACACATGTAGATGAGCAGGTAGGTGTCACACATGTAAATAGACAGGTAGGTGTCACATATGTAGATAGACAGGTAGGTGTCACTCAAGTAGATGAGCAGGTAGGTGTTAGACATGTAGATGAGCAGGTGGAGTCGAGATTTCATCCTCACAGCTCCGATGATAGGACAAGTGTGTACAGAGAACAATGTGAACGGTATACTGACGCGCGCGTTGTTCAACGTCGACAGTACGGTGGTGTAAACGTTATGGTATGGGGAGACATCACATCTCCTGGTCGGACACAACTTGTCCTTGTCAATGGCAATCTGTCAGGTCTGCGACACAGGGATGATATCATTGAGCCTCATGTGCAGCAGCTCATTCAAGGACAGAGACGTTACTCCAAGCTTCAGTAAGATGATGCCCATCCACATGTCGCCCGTGTTGTGACAGATTTCCTGAGACAGCAGAACATTCCGGTACTCTCCTGGCCAGCTGTTTCTCCGGACCTGTGCCCTATCGAGCACGCTTGGGATGAAATGGCGCGACGTTTACGCCAAACGTTAGATGAACTGGGACAATTTCACCGTCAAACAGTAATGTTGTTTCATCATTGAAGAGTAGGGGCTGTGGGGTAACCTAGTGGTTACAGCGTTGGTAGGTGTCGTGGGTACAATGTGTGGAGCCCATTTCTGGTGTCCCCCTCCATAATATTGCTAGAATAATGCTAAAGCGGCGTAAAAACACACGCACTCACACATTACAGTGTAACGTTCTTTCAACGTCGCGAAGTTCACCTCATGCCAACGATCAAGTTCAATTCAACGTTAAAGGGTCATGCTTCATGTTTCGCAGGTAAGAAGACCCAGTAGTGTGATTGTTCCACCACCAGTCGTCAGTAAAGGCAACGTCGATGAGAAAACTTTCCAGTCACATAAACGACGCGTGCCTTTGGTTGATAAATCGCCACTCGCCAGTCTCCGTCGCCTTGGTTCGGTAAGAATTTTAGTACGAGGGACAAGACCAGTGCCATTATTCAAAAGCCTGTTAATACAAAAACCAGCATGGAAAATTTACACATAAAAAAACCCGATGATTTACAAAAAGTTATAAATTTGTAAAATGCATATTTACAAAATTTAGGAAGGATTTTACCACTACATTTTTCAGTTTCTCCTTTTCTCAAGGATCCCCTATTTTAATTCAAGTACTGTCGGAAATGCTAGAAAAATGCTTTTTGACTTATATTTAAAATTCAGAGGTATTACAGTTACTTTAATAACAAATATCACTTTAAGAAACATCTACCTAATGTAGACCGAGGGAATAAATTGTGAGACATGCCCTAAAATGCGTTTTTACTGATGAAAATACTAAAAACTTAGAAAAAAAGGAGTAGTGGAACGTTATTTGATACAAACATTAACTGCCTGTGTTACGTCATCAGCATGCACGGTATCGACAGGTGAAATTGACACCTGAGCACACGCTCGGGCGAGGGGTCATCTCAATAGATGATTTCTTCAAAATGTTGAATATGTGTACGTATAGTATACGCATTGGTTATGGAAGGGATCATTTGTGCATGTGTGTTTGTTGTGAAGTAAACATACGAATTACTGTAAATTGGAAAGAATCCTATCACTTGTGTTATCTTATCGATTGATTGTAGAAATGTGCAAAGTTTTAATAAATGTTTGGCATGTCAACAGTATATTTCATTGAAAAAATATGGATGTAATTCGGTCAGTTTAATCTAGTTGTGAACACTGGCCAAAGATTTATCGAAGTCACTGGTGTAGCTTCTTTAGAATATATATATTCTTCTTCTCCTAAAGTTTGTAGACCGCCCGTCTAAGTACTCCCTTGTCAAAGTTGTCAAGGATGGTTTTACGTCCCGGTTTTGCATTTGAGACGGTCCCTGTCTCGTCTGATTTGTTAACAATATTGTAAACTTGTTGGTAAGACATACCAACAGCTCTATAAGTTCTGTATTAAACCATTTCTATACTAATGAAAGGTTTACCTCTGTCTTTTTCAAGCACAAAAAACTTATAAACCTTTGCAACAATCGCCTGCAAATAGTTGGCCATAGTGGACGCTGTGATAAAGATGTGCATGCATGACGGGAAACCTATTTATCAAGACTTAACATTTATATTAATATTTCTTCAATAAAGAAACGATAATTAAGTAAAGTAACACAAACATTCAACATTTATTTGTTTAAGGAAAACGTTCATTTATATTTTTACGCCACCTGTATTATTAGCATAAATGTAAAGACTATTTCAGATTTCTGTTGTTGAACTCTGAAAAAATCTTAAGTTGTTGTTTTGGTACCGAATTCTCTCCTGTAAACTGCCCTTTGGATGCATGGGAATGTTAAATCAATTGAAATAAAAATTAGGTAGACTATAGGTGAGTTGATATATTGACAACATAATACATTTATCACCTTCCTAAAGATATTAAGCCTAAAAAGCATTTTTCTAGCATTTTCGACAGTACTTTAGTATTATTGCAAAGGCATTACAGACCTCACGGATTGAAAAAAGACGAATATATAATTTTCCGATAATATATCATTTTGTTTTCCCACTTCATAATCTAAATACCTTGCATGTAGAGATACCACTTTTCAAGATGACCACTATTTCAAGATAACCGTCGATTCATGGAATGCCTTGTTCATTTCTTGGTTTTCACTTGGCTTCTGGCCTAAGGAGCGACGTTAATTTCGAATGCTGACATCATGAGCATCGATCTACGCAACTGGGATACGATGACATGTGTCAACCAAGTCAGCGTGCATAACCTACCGATCCCGTTAGTCGCCTCTTACAACAAGCATGGGTTGTTGCAGACTCTTCTAACCCGGATCTTCACGGTCAGCTCCTTATAGGTGTCATGTTACGTGTTAGGCTAGAGCTCCATATAGGTGCCATGTTACGTGTTAGGCTAGAGCTCCTTATAGGTGTCATGTTACGTGCTAAGCTAGAACTCCTTGTAGGTGTCATGTTACGTGCTAAGCTAGAACTCCTTATAGGTGTCATGTTACGTGTTAGGCTAGAACTCCATATAGGTGCCATGTTACGTGTTAGGCTAGAACTCCATATAGGTGTCATGTTACGTGTTAGGCTAGAACTCCATATAGGTGTCATGTTACGTGTTAGGCTAGAACTCCATATAGGTGTCATGTTACGTGTTAGGCTAGAACTCCATATAGGTGCCATGTTACGTGTTAGGCTAGAACTCCTTATAGGTGTCATGTTACCTGTTAGGCTAGAACTCCATATAGGTGTCATGTTACGTGTTAGGCTAGAGCTCCATATAGGTGCCATGTTACGTGTTAGGCTAGAGCTCCTTATAGGTGCCATGTTACGTGTTAGGCTAGAACTCATATAGGTGTTATGTTACGTGTTAGGCTAGAGCTCCTTATAGGTGTCATGTTACGTGTTAGGCTAGAGCTCCTTATAGGTGTCATGTTACGTGTTAGGCTAGAACTCATATAGGTGTTATGTTACCTGTTAGGCTAGAACTCCATATAGGTGTCATGTTACGTGTTTGGCTAGAGCTCCATAGAGGTGCCATGTTACGTGTTAGGTTAGAGCTCAATATAGGTGTCATGTTACGTGTTAGGCTAGAGCTCCATATAGGTGTCATGTTACGTGTTAGGCTAGAGCTCCATATAGGTGCCATGTTACGTGTTAGGCTAGAGCTCCATATAGGTGTCATGTTACGTGTTAGGCTAGAACTCCATATAGGTGCCATGTTACGTGTTAAGCTAGAACTCCTTATAGGTGTCATGTTACGTGTTATATATTTTCACGCTTTGGGATGAAGCGTTATCTTGGTGGGGCGGTAGGGTAAAGTAGTGGTTAAAGTGTTCGTTTGTCATGCCGAAGACCCTGGTTCGATTCCCCACATGAGTACATTTCTGGTGTGCTAAAAAGCTGCGAAAACCAAACTCACTCACTCCCTCACTTTATCTTGGTACCATGTCACCTAAGTGGCGTTTCATGGTGTGACAAGTTAGTCGTGTTACGTCAGCGTCGTTCAACTTCTTTGTATTTCAGACCCGTGAAGGTCCGGGTTAGAATTGGCCTTCTGTAACCCATGCTTGTCGACTATCGGGATCGGGTGATCAGGCTCGCCGGTTTGGTTGGCGCATGTCACCGGTTCCCCATTGCGCAGATCGATGCTCATGCTGTTGATCACTGGATTTTCTGGTCCGGACTCGATTATTTACAGACCGCCGCCATATAGCGGAATATTGCTGAGTTCGGCGTAAAGCTTAACTCACTTATTCACTCACTCTTTATATTTCGACAGCTGGACATTCCTTCCAAAGACGTACTGGATAAACTGAACAGTTCCAGGTTGTTCAAGATCTACCACAGGTAAACATGATTCCTACTCTCAACAAGCTCCACATCTGTCCTCGAGGGTAGCACGCCATGGTATGTCCTGTGTGTCAGCTACCTTGTCCCCGCTTCGTTGGGTAGCCTATTGGTTAAGGCGTTCGCTCGTAACGCCTAAGCCCGTGTTCGATTCCCGGCATGGGTACACTGTGTGAAGCAAATTTCTGATTTACTCCGCCGTGATATTGCTGGAATATTGCTGCTCACTCCTCAAAAGCGGCGGGTAAAAGACTTGTTTTGCCTTCAGTAACCCATGCGTGTTGTAAGAGGCAATTAACGGGATTGGGTGGTCAAGCTCGCTGATTTGGTTGACACATGTCATCGGTTCCCAATTGCGCAGATCGATGCTCATGCTGTTGATCATTGGATTGTCTGGTCCAGACTCGATTAATTACAGACCGCCGCCATATAGCTGGAATATTGCTGAGTGCGGTGTAAAACTCAACTCACTCTCTCACTCACTTGACGTGAATATTGTGTATGTTTTAGTTACCTTGACAACACGAACCACATGTGTCACCGGAGGTTGCGGATGGGGAGGGTCGGTGATGGAGGATGGGAAGTGTGCGACGATGAAGAATTTCGACCAATCGCACCTTGTCTTGTATATTCCTTTGGGTAAGAGAAATATCTTCTATTCATCTCCGCTGGGCTTTAAGTCCTAATGAGTTGATGCGATTGTGTATGTGTCGTATATTCATACGTAAACAGGGCGGTGGGGTAGCCTAGTGGTCCAAGCGTTTGCTTGCCTGCCGAAGACCCGGGTCCGATTCCCCACATGGGTACTCTGTGTGAAGCCCATTTCTGGTGTCTCCCGCCGTGATATTGCTGGAATATTGCTAAAAGCGGCGTAAAAGCTTGCTCACTCTTCCAAGTTTCATCAATATACTCACCCCATCCCTCTATACATCTCTATGGCTTTATGTAGTTAATGTATCGCATTTTATCTGCAGCATAAACAACGACTTCACATTTGACGATGACGTCGCCAAGTACTACCAGTGCCAAGTCTTGTCCTTTGACCCGAGGTAGAGTCAAACTGTTACAATGTGTCGCCAAATAACTCATGTTATTTAACTAACCTCATGCGTTATTTATACGTTATTTTTCAATAAAAACCAACAACAATACACCTACCAAGTGTATTATCTTTTCGCTTCATCCCCATCTTTGCCGAAGGTGTACTCGCATGGTTGTTACCAATGAAGATTGACACATGTCATCGTATCTGAATTGCTTAGATCGATACTCCTGCTGATGATCACTGGATTGTGTGGTCCAGACTCAATCATTTACAATCCGCGGCCATATAGCTGGAATATTGCTGAGTGCGGCGTAAAACAACCGGCCAACCAACCCATGAAGATCCGGGTTAGAATTGTTCTACAGTAACACATGCTTGTCGCAGAGGTGAATAACGGGATCGGGCAGGGTTTTACATGACGCGTGATTCCTGCGTATTTGACACAACGATTTCGTAAACGACCCTCAAAATATTATCAACCTTGACGCAAGTTTTATGACAATTCAGTTCAATAAAATCGATTTGATAAGCAAAAATGATATTGTTCGATGATAGTTTGACTTTTACAGAGCTGTCAGATTATTCCAGAGAACTCAGAGAGAGTCATTGAACAATCCTGGCATTTGGTGGTGTGACATACACAGTTACATACTGAGAATGATTAACATAAAGAAATATTAAAATTTTCATGACTCCAAAATATTGAAAATGACTCCCAAAAATGAATACTGTGAGTCACCATGACTCCCATTTTCAAAAGTCTGTGTAAAACCCTGGATCGAGTGATCAGGCTCACTGACTTAGTTGACACATGTCATCGTATCCCAACCACGTGGTTTCATGCTCCTGCTGTTGTCACTGGATTGTCTGGTCCAGACACGATTATTTAAAGACCGCCGCCATATAGCTGGAATATTGCTGAGTGGCGTTAAACAACAAACAAACCAAACACGTGGTTGTTACCGGCTGAAACAACAACGATGACGAGGAGGAAGACTGTCTAATCCTTATGTTGAGAGGAGAGAAAGCATGCAGACAGGATTTATGTCATTACATTATTCCTTGTATTGGACCCTGCTACCGACAGGCTAGTAGTCTGTCTCACGGTCCCTGAACCATATTATTTTCACTACAGCCCAACCCTCCCTGCAATACTAAGCCCTGAATGAAGCAAGTCAAGATTTCCTCAGGTTCTGAATGTCCCTTCTCACTGTGTCTCCATTTCCATGTAGATAGGTCTATTTGTTTCTATCATAATTATATATATTCAGAGACTAAGCGGCAGTCAAAATGGCTAGCCACCGTCTTGATAAGTTGTCACAAAACTAGCCATATGACAACTGCAGGTTATGAGAAATTTCTCAATGCCCCAACATACCAACGTACATATTTAACGGAATGTTTGGCGATTCACCTTGTTTTGCAGTATGAACAAGAAAAGCTACCAGAGGTCGCCGCTGGTTCATTTCTATGACCTTGGCATTGCTGAATCTGACAGGGTTGCACCGGAAAAGGGCTGGCAACTCCGATCATTGTCATCATTGAAACGACAATTTAATCACACAGAGGTAAGACTCGAAATTAAGCCTGATCCCTTCCCTCAATGCACTCAACATACAGAAGCAATCCTGGGCCCTGTTCCTCAAGCGATCGTAGCGCTATTACTGTCGTTACTCCCATACTTTAACATAGACTTTAGCCTGTTTCCTTCCCTCAGTCCACACAGTGCACGGAGACATTTTCTTATTATTGTGTTTCTCATAGACCAACAATTTCTCAGTTTCGCCGCCAACCCGAAGACAAACAAGTTTTGTTCTTAATTATTTCCGCCGACTAGAACTCTAGACCTTCAGACTGCTCTTTCAACCTTTTAATGACGAGGTGTCTTAGTAACTGTAACACCTGATATAATATATATACACAAAGAATTAAGTTAAGCACCCCTGATATATATAAGAATTGAATAAGCCCCGATCTTAACCCTTTGGATAACATCTGGGACATGACTGGTCGTCGTGTGCAACAAAGGGATCCGTCTGTATAGAACCTGGCCCAATTGGAAGCTGCTTTACACGAGGAATGGCGTAGACTGCCCTTTCAGAGGATCAGGTGGATGACAGGGGGTATGAGGAGGAGAGTGCTGGATGTCATACAGTCACATAGAGGTTACACTCAGTATTGACCTTGAATCGTACAAGACACGCAAAATGACATTTTGAATCTTCACATTCACCAATAAATGCAATATCAAACATTCCAGGGCCATACTTGTACAAACATGGTTTTGCATGAAAATCAGTGGTATTTTGTAATTGAACAATATCATCATAAAATCAACATGAATTCCAATCATTTTGGGCCCGCCTCCGTAGTGTAGTGGTTAGAGCGTCCGCCCGGAGAGCGGAAGGTCGCGGGTTCGATCCCCGACCGCATCATACCAAAAGACGCGGTTCTTAGCTAACTTTACTTGTGTTATGGAGTCCAAATCTGGAAAAAAAAATTATTTTGAGTATATGTTGTATTTCCTAAGTTTATGGCGGAAGCAGAATATATTCGATTTTTGACGAGAGGTCTCACCTTCGTTTACAGGTTTCCCAAAGGCACTACTAAACAGGAGTCCCCCGCCCTTATATTGCTGGAATATTGCTAAAAGCGGCGTAAAACTAAACTCACTCACTGAATCTATTAGTGTCCCATATATTGATGGCAGAGCCGACATTAACGTCATTGTTATAACCCGCTAATATACACAATTGTAAATCCCCATGTGTTAAACCCGATATGAAGACTGAATTAACTATGGTTGCCATGCAGCGCATCATCGACGTGTTGAAGATGGACGTGGAGAGTGCGGAATGGAGGGCCATGCCGCAGCTGGTGACGTCGTGGGAGCTAAACCGGGTGCGGCAGCTGCTGATTGAGTTCCACGGGGCATTCAAGACCAGGGCTGCCTCCCTACCTGCCCTCAACCTGTTGGCGGATCTGCACGCCATGGGCTTCCGGAAGTTCTATGTCCACAAGAACCGCGTTTGCCGGTTCAGGTGGAAAGAGTTCCCTGTCATGAGAACCAGCTGCTACGAGGTTCACTTTGTGAACCATAACCTGCTGGAGTAGGCGTCTGTGTACTGTTGTAGACATTAAACTGTTGGAGAGAGAACCACTGTACTGTTTTGACTATAAAGTTGGTAAGGTGAGTTCCGCTACGTCATCACTTCACCGGTACTACAACGGTGTCAGTAACCCGCGAAGATCCGGCTTAGAATTGATCTTCAGTAACCTGTGAAGATCCGGCTTAGAATTGATCTTCAGTAACCTGTTAAGATCCGGCTTAGAATTGATCTTCAGTAACCGTGAAGATCCGGCTTAGAAGTTATCTTCAGTAACAGGTGAAGATCCGACTTAGAATTTATCTTCATTAACAGGTGAAGATCCGGTTTCGAATGTGACTTCAGTAACCAATGCTTGTCGTAAGAGGCGACAAACGGGATCAGGTGGTCAGGCTCACTGACACATGTCATCGTATCCCAATTGCGTAGATTGTGCTCATGCTGTTGATCACTGGATTGTCTGGTCCAGACTCGATTATTTACGCCATATAGCTGGAATATTGCTAACTAATTGCGTAAAAAATAACTAACTCACTCACTCACGGAAGTAGCTAAACAAGGGATATGAACTAACTTTGGAAGACTCATTGGTTCTAACGTCTTAACGGGTAGCTGCAGAAGGTAGGGAGATATTTTTTCAAGAATCTTCGATAGTAGACGCAAAGGATAGGGGGGGATATCTGTGCAAATATCTTAGAGGGTAGGCTGTTTAGTACAAGCCGATAGTTGTTCAAATATCTTAGAGGGAAGGCAGCAGACGTTTGGGATACAAAGTAACGGGCAAAAGAAACGATAACCTGTTATTAAAATTCCTTTTCCTTTTTCACAATGGTGGTTTGTCGTTTTGTAATATCAGTGATTTTGTCTTGGTATCGTTTCTTTTGGCCGTTAGTTTAGTTGTTACAAAGATGTTAGAGGGTATTTGGTTAAGGAGTTTGTTATTATATGGTTATATGGGTATTTATATACCGCTATGGTCCATCCCATCTACATGTATACTCAAAGCGCTTTATTTCCCCCGATCATTGTATGTCAATGTCAACAGCACATCGTATTTTCAATCTCACCTCGCTGAGGATCGTACATCTCGTGCAGCCACTGGGTGCACCAAGTTGATGTGGCTTTCCGAATCCTTACGAGGTACCCATTCACAGCTGGGTGGACTGGGACACATAGTCAGTTTACTGGACGTTGCTGTACCCGCAAGTAGTGTGGCCGCCATCTGGTCATTTACCAACGGATTCGTAGGTTCTTTGAGTGCACTGGGTTGTGTACTGTACACTAGGGGTTGTGACAACACTGAAAGATTCTGCACACAAAGTTGACTCTAGGGTTTTTACACCCGGTCACAGGATAAACAGTGGATACTGACATGAAATATGTTCATCAGGTCTTGGAATAAGACTGACTGACTGACTCAGAAACCTAAACCTATTGACCGCCTCCGTGGTGTAGTGGTTAGAGATGCTGCTCGGAGAGCAGAAGGTCGCGGGTTCGATTCCCGGCTGCGTCATACCAATAGAATGGTACTTGTTGGTCCCTGCCTGGCGCTGGGCATTAATGGGTACAACAAGGACTGGTCGGCTCGGAGTCAGTATAATATGTCTGAGTGGGATATTCATGTTTAATCGCGGCATGGTATCTCAGTGAGCTGGCACTATAAAATCAGTTTAAGTCTGGGCAAGTACAAGCAGCCACACATACACACGCATGCACGTCGTCATATGAGCGAAATATTCTTAAGTGCGATGTTAAACCCTATTTTACCTCTCCTCACCTAAACCTATTGTTGAAATACTTTCCCATTTTCACAAATTTCCTCCATTCATCTGCTTAAAATAAGCCGTTAAATCATTTTTGAAAACTTGTGGTGGCTGTATATGGATTAGAGTATTTTCATGAATGTTGATGTACTGTTCTTGTGGCTACTCAGATCCTCGAGCAGTGGTTTCCACGTTGTCCTTGCAAGTTTTCCACGTTGTCCTTGTTCGCATGTTTGCTAACTGTGTAGGAAAGGTATCCATGCACCAAAACCAATTACATGGAGAAACAAAGTATTGCTTGAGTTCCTCATGACTGTTTGCAGTTATACATCCCTGTTTTCTGTTCAGGAGTAATCTAATCGTGCAGTATTGTCACTGGGGCATAACAACGATTTATTAAAATGTCAAATGTGGTTTTCTGACTGATTGCCATTTAATGGCGTAAATTATTCATTGGATCGGATTACGAAACGTTGAATATCTTAATGGGAAACAAAATACCTTCTCTGATATGTTGTGAGAGGCAAAAATGTAGTCAGTCGAAACATCACATGAATGTTTCGATCATACCAATATCCGTTTGCATGACTGGAAAACTGGTTCCTAGGTGAAGGCTGGTGTTGAGTGTGACTGTGTTGTTCGCGCTTGTACATCACACCTCACAGTCCTATGTTGCATGGTAATTGTTTTATACTTGTTTCGGTTTGATTGTGATTCTGTTTTTCATGTATGTGTTTCTCTCATCTCACAGTCGTAGGCTGTTTGACAATTTGTTCATATATGAAAGGTAGTGTTGAATGTGATTCTGCTTTTTCATTGTTTGTATTTCTCATCTTTAGGTCTTAAACTGTCTAATGACTGATTTATACATGAACACAAGTATTGAATGTCATTGTGGTTTTCATTGTTTGTATTTCTCATCTTTAGGTCTTACACTGTATAATGACTGATTTATACATGAAGACAAGTATTGAAAGTGATTGTGTTTTTCATTGTTTGCATTTCTCATCTTGAAGTCTTACACCGTGGAATAACTGATTCACACATGTAGACTAGCATTGAATGTGATTGTGTTTTCCTTGCTTTGTATTTCTCACATTTAGGTTTTACGCTGTATAATGACTGATTTATACATGAAGACAAATATTTAATGTGATTGTGTTTTTCATTGTTTTTATTTCTCATCTTTAGGTCTCACACTGTATAATAACTGATTCATACATGGAGACTAGTATTGAATGTAATTGTGTTTTTCTTTGTTTGTATTTCTTATCTTTAGGTCTTACACTGTCTAATGACTGATTTCTACATGAAGACTAGTATTGAAAGTGATTGTGTTTTTCATTGTTTTTATTTCTCATCTTTAGGTCTCACACTGTATAATAACTGATTCATACATGGAGACTAGCATTGAATGTAATTGTGTTTTTCATTGTTTGTATTTCTCATCTTTAGGTCTTACGCCATGGAATAACTGATTTAAACATGTAAACTAGTATTGGATGTGATTGTGTTTTTCTTTGTTTGTATTTTTCATCTTTAGGTCTTACACTGTATAATGACTGATTTATACATGAATACTAGTATTGAAAGTGATTGTGTTTTTTATTGTTTGTATTTCTGATCTTGAAGTCTTACACCGTGGAATAACTGATTCACACATGTAGGCTAGCATTGAATGTGATTGTGTTTTTCATTGTTTGTATTTCTCATCTTTAGGTCTTACACTGTCTAATGACAGATTTATACATGAAGACAAGTATTGAATGTGATTGTGTTTTCTTTGTTTGCATTTCTCATTTTGAAGTCTTACGCCGTGGAATAACTGATTTATACATGTAAAGTAGTATTGAATGTGATTGTGTTTTTCATTGTTTTTATTTCTTATCTTTAGGTCTTACACTGTATAATGACTGATTTATACATGAAGACTAGTATTGAATGTAATTGTGTTTTTCATTGTTTGTATTTCTCATCTTTAGGTCTTACACTGTATAATGACTGATTTATACATGAAGACAAATATTGAATGTGATTGTGTTTTTCTTTGTTTGTACTTTTCATCTTTAGGTCTTACACTGTATAATGACTGATTTCTACATGAAGACTAGTTTTGAAAGTGATTGTGTTTTTCATTGTTTTTATTTCTCATCTTTAGGTCTCACACTGTATAATAACTGATTTATACATGAAGACTAGTATTGAATGTGATTGTCTTTTTCATTGTTTGTATTTCTCATCTTTAAGTCTTACGCCGTGGAATAACTGATTCATACATGAAGACTAGTATTGAATGTGATTGTGTTTTTCATTGTTTGTATTTCTCATCTTGAAGTCTTACATTGTGGAATAACTGATTCATACATGAAGACTAGTATTGAATGTGATTGTCTTTTTCATTGTTTGTATTTCTCATCTTTAAGTCTTACGCCGTGGAATAACTGATTTATACATGTAGACTAGCATTGAATGTGATTGTCTTTTTCATTGTTTGTATTTCTCATCTTTAAGTCTTACGCCGTGGAATAACTGATTCATACATGAAGACTAGTATTGAATGTGATTGTGTTTTTCATTGTTTGTATTTCTCATCTTTAGGTCTTACACTGTATAATAACTGATTCATACACGAAGACTGGTATTGTTTGTATTTCTCATCTTGAAGTCTCACAGTATTCCCAGAAATTACTGAGAATGTTGTTTCGGCAAATATCTAATACATGTATATAAACTATAGAAGTTTTACTTTTTTGAATATGTTAAGATATGATTCTCTTACAGTCTAAGTGTCTTTTCAGTAGTTGTGCGACTGCCTTGCCATGCAATACACGACTGAATGCGCCTAGGTACACTACCGATCAAGTTTGTAGAAAATCGTGTCATAGCGTATCCCACTATTAGACCTATTCTTTCTTCATATCAATATTCCTCAGACATTTTTGGTTTGTTCTGTCCTTCATTAGTCCCCACACATTCTCAACAGGATTAAGATCTGGGCTGTAGCTGGGCCAATTTAAAACTTGAACATTTTCTTCTGAGAACAACTCTTGTGTGTAGCCCGCAGTTTGTTTTTGGGTTGTTATCACGCAAGAAAATCCAACTATTAATGAAACATTGGAAGGAAGTGATCATTTAAGATGTCAACATATCTTTCTTTCATCAAATTTCCAGTGAAAGTACACAACGGCGTCACTCCACGTGATGATATCCCACCCAACGTGAAATTTTGGGGGCTGTGTTTTGGGCATTGGGAGATTTTTTGTCCATATTTTCACACAGATTGGGAAACATAACAGAACTTTCATCAGAAAAGAAAACTTTATCCCAGTCTTGATTTGCGTGAGCCTCTTACGACAAACACGAGTTGCTGCAAACCAATTCTAATAGTCGACTACGTTTATAGCAAACACGCTTACTGACGGATGTAACGAACTGGGTCTTTTTGTCCTGGCAACTTGCTGTGTGTCATAGTCTAAATGCGTATAACAAACTGCGGTTAGGAAGAACTAAGTTAGTGGTCACTTTGAGTTCATTATTCGTTGTTATCCATATGTTAAAATCAAGTTTGCCATGTAAGGAATGAAAAAAATCTAACATTAATCAATACTAAACTACTCTCAGCTTTACTCAGAATGTGTTTACTTTTGCCAAATGTATGTATTATGGGCCTTGGGCCTAAATTAGTGAATAAACCTGTCTGTCTGTGTGTCTGTGTGTCTGTCTGTCTGATGCTATTCTTTTCTCCACCAGGCGCATCGTTTTTAGAGACACAATGGCAATTCAACTATGGCTGCTTATATGCGTGAGTTCACTGATGTTACTGTCAGTGACTAACGGGTCATCAGAAACCATCACCAACTTCAAGAGGCTATTTGGATCAAAGATGTGCGCATTCCTTTGTAGACGTACCACAGGGTGCTCGCAGTTCCTGTTTTATGATTCGAAGTGTGTTTTACGTACCACTGAGTCTTCAACGGAAGGTGGTATCATGTGCACTCCAAAGAAGGTCCTAATACAGGTAACAAATAACTGTCAGTAGGGAGCAACCAGATGGTCTGCAATGTTTCTTGGTACACTATTAATCACCGGTAATACAGATGTATTTTCACTGACCTATTCTTAGATATATCTTGCACACCTAAGAAAACAAATTAATCAGGGCTCTTTCCAAGTGTTCTCCTCCTCCTCTCCTCTTCCTCCTTATCCTCTCCTCTTCCTCCTTATCCTCCTCTCCTCCTCTCTTCTCCTCCTATCCTCATCCTCCTACTCTCCCCTCCTCCTCCTCTCCTCCTTATCCTCATCATCCTCATCCTCCCCTCCTCCTCCTCATCATTCTCCTCCTCCTCATCAACCTCCTCCTCTCCTCCTTCTCCTCCTCCTCATCATAATCTCCTCCTTCTCTCCTCTTCCTCCCCCCTCTCCTCCTCATCCTCCTCAACCATCCTCCTCCTCCTTTCCTCCTCCTCCTCTTCTCCTCCTCCTCCTCATTATCCTCCTCCTCCTCCTCTCCTTATCATCATCAACCTCCTCCTCCTCTCCTCATTCTCCCTCTCCTCCTCCTCCTCAACCTTCCTCCTCCTCCTCCTCCTCTCCGCCTCCTCCTCCTGTTCTATATGAATACCATAGTGTCTTAAATGGAAAGTGGTCCATTAACATGATAAATGCAACATTATGTTTGTAGACCTTCAGGCAAAGTTTAGGCTTGTGGGTAATTAGTACTTTTGGTTCTTTGTGTACATAACACACTTCTTTGTTTCAGGATATGGGTGAGAGCCAGTGCTGTCCGAAGTGTTATAAACTCACCTACGTCATACGAAATACAGCCTGCGTCGCTTGTGAGTAGTGCAGCCAAACTGGACATCTTCAAGTCAGTTATAAGTCCGCATTTTCGCTGCCAACACTATATTCTCAGACATGTTAGGACAGCAGAAGGTTTTAACTTCGTCTTGCAGGCAAATTGCCGCATGTTGCGTACGGCAAACCACATCACCTACTTATTTCATGACAATTGTGTACATGGTGATCATCACTGTGAAACCTGTGTGCTTGTGGGTGCTACAAGTAGTGATAATCACCTTTTTACTCAAACACCAAAAAATTTCTGCAAACCATTTGTATACTTGTCAACGCTATTTTGCCTTGGGCCCAAATTGATTCGTTTCGATGGAAAATTGAGACTGGATATCATCTCGTGTTGATGCTTTATGTTTAATTTTGTACCTTTTGTGGTTTTGTTCATTGTTTAACGCAGCACTCAGCAAATGGTCCAGCTATATGACGGCAGTCTATTAATAATGGAGTCCAGACCAGACAATACAGTGATTGAAATGATGAGCATTGATCTACTGATCTATGATTCAGTATCATTTAGAGTGAGTGAGTTTAGTTTTACGCCACACTCAGCAATATTCCAGCTATATGGCGGCGGTCTGTAAATAATCGAGTCTGGACCAGACAATCCAGTGATCATCAGAAGGTGATATATCTGTCTTCAGCATTGACTAGTGGAACCACTGAGCATGCAAGTACATCACTGGACCTTGGTACTACAGAAAGTGGACATGATCATGCCAGTACTAAGACATTCCTCCGTCCATTGGAGCGCAAGGGTAGCCCAGTGGTTACAGCTCATCCCACAGAAGACCCAGGTTCGTTTTCTCATATGGGTAGAACGTGTCAAGCCCATTTCTAGTTTCCGCTGTGATATTGTTAGAATCTTGTTAAGAGTGGCGTAATAATAAAAACACACTTACTCACCTTCCGTTCATTCAAATATGCCGTTATCCAGGGTATATGTTAATTAATCATGTTTTTTTCCTTTTTTTCTTACAATCATATTCAAATGTAACTACTAAAATAGTCTTTCCTTTTCTTTTAATTATTTCAATCAGTTTCATTTTTGCAGGTGCAACCTGATTGTTTTTCTGTTCGTCAACGCCGACCCGTGCTCATGGGTTTCATTAAAAATACTCTTTAAAAAAGTAGGGGAACTTCGATCATGTGGTCTTACGTTGATGTTGGCCTGGCGTTCATTTCTTCATCGCCAGACCCGAGGTTCTCTTCCTGCCTCAAGCGAGTCGATGGTGTAACCTAGTTTAATTAGTTGCTGAACATTACATCTAAAACTAGGACAAAAGTGTTTGAATACAAATCAGAATGTTATGCAAGTCGTTCAATGGCCACTCGTTACATTTACAGACCCAATATGAAATGTTCATTGCCACTAATTCCACATCATGTTTCTTGACAAGACAAAAAATGGTTTTGTTGTTTCTGAAAGTGATATATCTGTCTCCAGCATCGACTATAGGAACCTCTGAGCATGAAAGGGCATCACTGAACCTTGGTACTACAGAAAGTGGACGTGATCATGCCAGGGCCAAGACGTTCCTCCGTCCATTGGGGCGCAGGGGTCGTCCAGTGGTTAAGGCTCATCCCACCCAAGACCCAGGTTCGTTTTATCACATGGGTACAATGTGTCAAGCCCATTTCTATTCTCCCGCCGTGATATTGTCAGAATCAGGCTAAAAGTGGAATAATGATAAATACACCCACTCACCATTGGGGCGCAGGGTAGCCCACAGGTTAAAGGTCATCCCACCGAAGACCCGGGTTCGTTTTCTCCCATGGGTACAATGTGTCAAGCCCATTTCTAGTCTCCGCGGTGATATTGTTGGAATCTTGCTAAAAGCGGTGTACAAATATCATACTCGCTCACCTTCCGTCCATTCAAAAACGCTGTTACAGTGGGTACATGCTAATTAATCATTATTTAGAATGATATTGCTGGAATATTGCTAAAAGTTCAGTAACACCATACTCACTTACTTACTCACTCACTCACTCACTTACTCACTCACTTACTTACTCCTGCCTGAAGCTAACATGTTCTGATATCACTGAAACCCTTTTCAAACTCAATCCATCTTTCTAATAAAGTTTCCAGGGGCGGTGGGGTAGCCTAGTGGTTAAGGCGTGCGCTCATCAGGCCGAAGACCTGGGTTCGATTCCCCACATGGGTAAAATGTGTGAGACCCATTTGTGGTATTCCCCGCCGTGATATTGCTGGAATATTACTGGAGGCGGCGTAAAACCTCACATGCTCACCCACGCACGCACGAACTCATGATCTTACAAACTCACTCACAATGTTTCCATCTTTTATTGATCAGTGACTCTTGCTTCTGCACGTCGACGTCACACAAAAGCGCAAGACCACCTCATTCGTGCCTGTAGGGCAGGAGACTTATCCAAGGTCAAACTCATCTTGTCGGAAGAAGGAGTAGACATCAACTTATTTAAATCCCATCAAAAGCCACCTGTGATGATGGCGGCGAGGTGGAGACATAGAGACGTTGTTGAGTTCCTTGTGAACGAAGGTGCAGATTTGTCACTTGTGGACCAATTCCATAACAACGTCCTCCACGGCGCCTGTATCGGAGGAGATGTGCAGATTGTGAACTATCTTCTCTCACGGGACGTGTTGGACATCAACAGTAAGGGACATAACGGAAAAACGTCATTGATGTTGGCCGCAATCCATAAGCATAGTGGAGTGGTGGACTTGCTTCTTTTGGAAGGAGCTGACATGTCACCAGTGGACAATTCCGGTAACAACGTCCTCCACTGCGCCTGTCTTGGAGGAAATGTGATGGTTGTGCAGCATCTTTTGTCACGTCGTCGAGCAGACATTTATGCCAGGAATAAAGGCGGTAAGACAGCAGCAGACCTAGCCAGAGACAAAGGTTTTGGTAGAATAAATGATCTTCTTCCTTCATTTGGCGTTTACAAGTAAAAAGGGACACTGTAGGAAAAAAGTGTGTGATGTTGAGAGTTAAGCAGAACACATAGCATAGTCTTAATGTAGTGGGGTAGCCTAGTGGTTAAAGCTGTTGCTTGTCACACCGAAGGCCCGGGTTCGATTCCCAACATGGGTGCAATGTGTGAAGCCCATTTCTGGTGTCCCCCGCTGTGATGTTGCTGAAATATTGCTAAAAGCGGCGTAAAACTAAACTCACTCACTCACTAATTTAGAGTGCACATTGGAAAGAAGTCTTGAATGACTCAAGATATATTTTCATTTAATACATTATAATTTGTTTTATGTTTGTGGTCTGTAAATAATCGAGTCTGGACCAGACCAGTAATTGAGATCATGAGCATTGATCTACGCAATAACATGATACCAATTCCTGAACTAGTTACATAATAACTGACCAACTTGTTCCAAATTTCCTTTGTCAAAAGACGAAAGAACTGAATTTTAGAATTGATCTTCAGCAAACCGTGCTGATCCTGGCATAAATGGCGGTTATCATTGAATGAATATATGCCAGTGTGTGAATCTGATTTTGACAGTCGCCCGACCCCTCAGTCATTGCCCAAGAGGCCATGTACACTTCAGGATAGTGTCTGGACGTCACTTTTGAAGAAAATGATGTAGACCAAATCTTGACTCGACCACTTTGGTTGAACCATTTCTTTAAATAATCCTATAATATAAAAAAAACTGCTTTAGTCGCGGTATACATAGTATAAAAGATATATGTGATGAAAATGGCTTTCTAAATATACAGGGAACTTTCTTAGACTACCAACTCTTGTTTAACAATATTCGAAATAACTGGAGATATCAGATCAGAAACAGAACACGTACATTCGATCAATCACATCTTAATAATATATACAAATATATTATCTGTGATGCTAAAGGTTCAAGGAAATTCTATGATGAACTAATTAAAAATGATACTACACCAAAGTCCTTAGAATATGGGAACACTGTCTTTCTGCATGAGATTCACTGGGTAGAGATGTATTTAGCTATTATAGGAAATGTACAAATGATGATACATGTACATTTTGTAAAACTGCCTCAGAAGATATATCACATGGTTTTTTTTAATGTCAACTTGTTCAGAACCTTTGGCTTAAAGTTAAAGAATTCCTGAATGATAACCTCCAAACCAATCTGACACTATCTAAATTCATTATAATGTTTGGACTGTCATCAAACAACCAAGTAGTAAATCACATTTTTACTACTTGCCAAAAGATTAATCTATACTTCAAGTCTTAAACAGCCAGATATATTCTTCGCAGGATTTCTCATGTTGCTCAAGGACATCCTCCTCGATAATCTCCATGGTATACGTTCCGATAAATCTCCACTATACTCTGGATGCATCTACGGCTCGAGCCGATAATTTTATTACGTCCCTTTGCTGGCTCCGCATTCTCACAGTAGCCAATCAGATAAGCCGCCATTACAACCGAGCTTGCCAGTATCAACAAAGATAGCGATCGCAGCCGCGAAAGTTTGTTCGCAGTGCGACTCAGATTTTGGGGGAAAACATACAGACAAATTGACAGGTCTGAAATCTTACAAAAATATATGCAAGAACTTCTTCTACCTCTTTCAGAGTACCTCTGCAACAATATATTATTGTGTTGCCAAGTTTAATCGGTTAGATAATTTAGAAAGCGAAAGTGAGTTGTGATTGGTACGCTCAACGTCCCAGCGTAGACACCTGATTGGATAAAAAGCCAACCAATGCAGGTAATAAAATCATCGGCTCGACCCGTAGATGCATCCAGGGTATAGTGGAGATTTATCGGAAGGTATACCCTGGAGATTATCGAGGATGTAAGGACATATGCTATATCGAAAGGTTTATTGCAATGAAAAATAATAAATTTAGTTGTTTTACTAGGAAACGGCATCCCTTAGATACCGTACCCTGACATTTTAATTTAGCACACATACAACTTGACTTAATCAAACTATTCTCCTATTTTATCAATAAAATTATCTACATATGTGCACCCTCATATGTGTATACAATTTTGTACTAATTTGATGATGTAACTGCCAACACATGTCACCCTTTTGTCTGTACATGCAACTTAAAATGGAATAAAAAATAAATTATAAAAATGTCTGCACGTCGTCCCTGAGTCACGGAAGTTGAATAACTGTCACAGGTTTACATGATCTCAACGCTTGGAACTGTTGGAGGGAAATGGACAAGAAGGTGGTTACGCCAATCCCGTTGCGTTTATTCATGTATCCCCATCATGTAGATTTGTCAATTCATTGATTGTCCCATTGGACCATTTTTACCTTTGGGGATGTGTTGGATTTACAGTTACAGAAATAATACAGAATTGGAAGAAATCCGAAGGGATTCCATAAAGGAATTGTGAAGCTCTGATTGCAGGTTTGTCTGTGTGTTTAGCGTCTCACTCAACAATATTGCAGCTGTATGAGGCTGGTCTTTTAATGTTAGGGTCTGGACCAGATTGTCCAGAGTGCGGCGTTAAACCGTTTAACATGACACCCAGCAACGATGGTGATCAGAAAGATGCGATTCAGAGATTGCTTGGAGTGAGTGAGTGAGTTTAGTTTTCCGCCCCACTCAGCAATATTCCAGCTATATGGCGGCGGTCTGTAAATAATCGAGTCTGGACCAGACAATCCAGTGATCAACAGCATGAGCATCGACCTGCGCAATTGGGAACCGATGACATGTGTCAACCAAGCCAGCGAGCCTGACCACCCGATCCCGTTAGTCACCTCTTACGATAAGCATGGGTTACTGAAGGTTCATTCTAACCCGCAACCTTCACGGGTCCTTTACGTATTGAAGTGTAATGCTATGAGATGGCATCGGAACTCATGGAGGAACATTACTTTTCATTCGTAATTGCAATTTGAATGGCGCATACTATCAAGACCACATTGCCGGCGCAGTTGATCCAATCCTACATTTGGAACATGGCCCAGGATGCTATCAATCATCTTGTGTCTTCCTTCAGCTGCCTCCATTGGTTTTATTTAAAGGTCACATGCAACGTAAAACACAACTTTGCAGATTCTGATACCTTTCGGTATGGACTTACCGAAACAAATCATCAAAAATGCAAATTCAACTTATAAAGTTGAAAAATAATGCGATGAAAAAACCCGCGCGAAATCGTAGTTCAAACGATTCACTAACTTTCCCCCAGCGCGTGGGGAAATTCAAGTGGTTTCAACAGCTGGGCTGCGCTCATAGCACATGCGCGGAGCTGAGAAGCGGGTTGTCCGGTGAATATTCGTTGAAGGCTTTGGTGTGAGCTATTTTTCTAATGTTTTGTTGATATTTCACAGGCGCGAGCTTTTTATATGTTATGACAGTAGATTACCGATTTAACTGTTTATATAATTTCATTTGTCTATTTCACCACACGTTCTTCTTACCGAGTCACTTTCTCAGTTCGATACTTAAAAGCAATGTCATTATTTAGCGTTGACAGAATTTCTAACTGTGATATAGATATGTCGTTGTCACAGACAAAACTCAATGTCTTGTTTTATTGGCACATATGTGTCTGCCTGCCTGTCTGCTAATGACAAAATTCAATACACAATTTCAATCACTGACCACATGCAATTTGAAATTAACACCTATCAGGCTATACACCATAAACAAAATGCATTGATTTATGGCCCGAGTTCGGTCTCTGTCACATTATGTAATTACACAGCCAGGCAGGTGTGATAATTGTACACATGACATGTTATGATGTCTGTTGATTGCAAAATGTTATACACAAAAAATGAGCATGTATTTACAAAACCCAACGTCTCTATATACACACACAATGAGCCGTGAGGGCATCTGCAAATGAACCAGTCGTTACACTTGAGTGCACACCCACCCTCTCTGACTGGGTTCGGTACCCCGGCTGCTTCGTTTCTTAGGAAGTAAAGCCGAGTACAAAATATTGCACTTTTGATTTGCGATTGTATGCTTATAATTGTGTTTTTATGTTTTTTCATAACCAGCAATGTATATTATATGTCATGAATAAGTGATAATTGTGTTTTAATTATGTTTGATTTTTTGGTTGCATGTGACCTTTAATATCTAGTTTCAAATAATGTTTTATTAAGTTTTTCAGTTAACATTTTCAACATGTAATCTAGTACTGGATATCGATTTCATTACTATCTAATAACACAGGTATATTATTAAGAAAACAATCACAAAAACCATGACAATATTAATTATACATGGCGGTATTTTCATAATCTTTAATGCTATTTTCTTATTTCACATGCTCAGGTTTTCGTGAGTGAGTGAGTTTAGCTTTACGCCGCACTCGGCAATATTCCAGCTATATGGTGGCGGTCTGTAAATAATGGAAATAAAACGAACCCCTGGGCTACCCCTGCGCCCCATTGGACGAAGGAACGTCTTGATACTGGCATAATCATGTCCACTTTCTGTAGTACCAAGGTTCAGTGATGTACTTACATGCTCAATGCTTCCATCAGTTGATGCTGAAGATAGATATATCACTTTCAGAAACAACGAAACCGTTTCCTGTCTCGTCGAGAAACTTTCTGAGTGAGTGAGTGAGTTGGTTTTTTTGACGCTGCACTCAGCAATATTCCAGCTATATGGCGGGGGTCTGTAAATAATCGAGTCTGCACCAGACAATCCAGTGATCAACAGCATGAGCATCGATCTGCACAACTGGGATACAATGACATGTGTCAACCCAGCCAGCGAGCCTGACCACCCAATCCCGTTAGTCGCCTCTTACGACAAGCATGGGTTACTGAAGTTCAATTCTAACCCGGACCTTCACGGGTGGTTTTCGTGAGAGGTAAGGGGGAGAGTTGTGCAAAACTCTTAGAGGATGCAGTGGTTAGGGAGACAGT